AAAAGGGGGTGTGCTTATACGAGGTTGGAGGTGTGTTTATCATCTGCTTAAAAACATTGGCTCACATTTAATAAGCGGTCCAATACTATTGGTAAATTAAATTTCAAAGGTTTTATTTATTTATTTATTATGTGGAGCATTGGTGCCAAGCCCCTCCAGATATGTCCCGTTCATCCTTTGGGCTCGGCCCGACTCGTGTGCTATGCTTGGTAGCGTTATTCTGATTTGGATTTTTAATTTGCAAATTACTAAATACAACCTGTAATTGCTAAATGTATCCCGTTCATTCCAAAGTACCCATTTATGATATTTCGCACATTTTGAAAATTTAACTGCGGAGGATGTTTTAACAACAACGAATGATCAGTGCAAGGATCATGATCAAGCTCCAACACTAGTACAGTTCAAGAATCACAAAAGCATAATGCATCTTGAAGAGCTTGGGAAGGCTATGTCATCTAAATTTTACCATTACCTGCAAGTTCCAGTTTATCCATTAATTATATGATAGTTATCCACAAAGTACATACCAATGCTAAGTAAATTCTCAAAGCACCACACAATAGCCCTATTTTTAAATAGAATTAAATATATTTTTAGCATTTAAATTTGTCTCAATTTTTTGTTTTTAACTCTCTCTTTACATTTTATTTAGTTTTAGTTCTTGATTTTTTTAGTTACAAAATTGTTTGACATTAGAAACTAAAATATATTAATGGAAGAAAAAGTTGAATAACTAAAAATAAATATCAGCAAAAGTTGAATAACTAAGATACTTTTATTTTTATTCATTTATTTAAAAATTCAAGACAACAATAATTATTTTAATTGTATTCTAATCTCTGCTTATCTTTTAAAAATATTTTAAACATTTGTCATAAGAGAGAAAAGTATAGTAAAAAAATTATATTAAAAATTAAAACATAAAAATGGATTTTTTTCCTTCCAATTTATGTGTTATGTTCTAAATTGAACGAATAAAAAAAGGGAAAACAAATCCCAACAACTGTATCCACGACTCACCTTTGTCCACGCCCTCTAAACAAGACACTTATAAGAGCCTTAAATAGGGATGATAAATATATCCGTACCTGCGGGTAATACTCGAACCCGTCTCGACTTTGACGGGGAATACCCGGTTTGACCAGATACGGGTACGGGTACGGATAAAACCCGATATATTAAATCAGGTACGGATACGAGTACAGGTATGTACTTACCCGCCCCGTACCCGTACCCGT